CTTGGGATGCTCAGGGGAGGTAGGATGCTGGGGGTCCTTGGGATGCTCATTGGAATTGGGAGAGAGCTTGGGATGCTCAGGGGAGATAAGATGCTGGGGGTCCTTGGGATGCTGGGGGGGTCCTCGGGATCTTGAGGGTCCTTAGGATGATGGGGAGGGCTTGGGATGCTTGGGGGGGGTGTCCAGCAGCAACGTCATCTCCCCAGCAGCCGTGTCCCCAGAGCAACCACCTCACTGCTGAGGTGAAGGGTGCCAGCCCCCCGCCCCACTGCCCCCCAAAACCCCTCGTAGCCCCACAGGGTCCCAGTGCTGACAGGGGGGACTCCTGGGATCCGGACTGGGGGCATCACTGGGGTGACAGGGGCTGGTGGCCCCCGTGACGTGGGTCATATCCAGCCCTCACAGGGCTGCTGTCACCGGGGTCCTTGGGGAGTGACACCCCCACGGGGGAGGACACAAATCCAGGTGGGGGAGGACACAAATCCAGGTTTTGGGGGGCACAATTTGGGGTTTGCCTCGCAGAGGGGGTGCAGGGGGGCTCCTCGCCCCCATCCTGCAGGGGTGGGGAGCTCAAAGCCCCAGCAGCCGTGTCCCCAGAGCAACCACCTCACTGCTGAGGTGAAGGGTGCCAGCCCCCCACCCCACTGCCCCCCAAAACCCCTCGTAGCCCCACAGGGTCCCAGTGCTGACAGGGGGGACTTCCGGGATCCAGACTGGGGGCATCACTGGGGTGACAGGGGCTGGTGGCCCCTGTGACGTGGGTCATACCCAGCCCTCACAGGGCTGCTGTCACCGGGGTCCTTGGGGAGTGACACCCCCACGGGGGAGGACACAAATCCAGGTGGGGGAGGACACAAATCCAGGTTTTGGGGGGCACAATTTGGGGTTTGCCTCGCAGAGGGGGTGCAGGGGGGCTCCTCGCCCCCATCCTGCAGGGGTGGGGAGCTCAAAGGCTGCTTCTCCTGCACATCCTCCATCGCCTGGCGAGGCCGAAGGCTGCTCCTGCACATCTGTCATCGCTCAGTGAGGCTGAAGGCTGCTCCTCTGCACATCCTCCATCACTCAGTGAGGCCGAAGGCTGCTCCTCTTCACATCCTCCATCGCTCAGCGAGGCCGAAGGCTGCACCCACACGTCTGTCATCTCTCAGTGAGGCTGAAGGCTGCTTCTCCTGCACATCCTCCATCGCTCAGAGAGGCCGAAGGCTGCACCTGCACATCTGTCATCTCTCAGTGAGGCCGAAGGCTGCTTCTCCTGCACATCCTCCATCGCTCAGAGAGGCGAGGCCGAAGGCTGCACCCACACGTCTGTCATCTCTCAGTGAGGCTGAAGGCTGCTTCTCCTGCACATCCTCCATCGCCTGGTGAGGCCGAAGGCTGCACCCGCACATCTGTCATCTCTCAGTGAGGCCGAAGGCTGCTCCTGCACATCCTCCATCGCTTGGCGAGACCGAAGGCTGCACCTGCACATCTGTCATCTCTCAGCAAGGCTGAAGGCTGCTTCTCCTGCACATCCTCCATCGCTCGGCGAGGCTGAAGGCTGTTTCTCCTGCACATCCATCGCCTGGCGAGGCCGAAGGCTGCTCCTCTTGCACATCCTCCATCGCTGGGCTCCAGCGGGTTGCGGCGGGAGGCGGTCGCTGTAGCAACGCGCCGTGCGGCGCAGGGGAGGGGATGCTCGGCGCAGGCATGGCTCCCGGCGGACACACAGCCCTGCCTGCCGCAGGCCATGGGCTCCCTTGAAGGTAGGGCCTTGCCCCCCCCTCTTTCCCCTCAC